GAAACGGGAATTTCGAAGTAGGGAAGAGCAGGCCGGTTTCAGCCTAGGACGTGGCTGTATAGACCATATATTCCTTTTGCGGCAGGTGCTAGAGCAACGCCACGCATACCGCAGACCGACAATAGCTGTGTTCCTCGATCTCAAGTGTGCGTTCGATTCAGTCGATCGATCGATTCTGTTCGAATTATTTGCGCGAAAAGGTATTCCCACGAAATATGTGAACATCCTTCGTGCTCTATACTCGAACACTACAGGCCGCGTCAGGGTATACGGTGGCCTATCGGATAGCTTTCAGACCACAAGTGACGTTCGTCAGGGTTGCCTGATTTCCCAATTTCTGTTCAATTTCGTCCTGGATTCTATCATGGAGTGTTTCCTTGCGGAATCTCACGATGTAGGCATTGAAGTGCAGCCTGGTGATAGGTTCGTTGATCTTGATCATACGGACGATATCGTGTTGCTTTTCGACAATGTTGCGGCGGCACAAGCAACCCAGAATAGCCTGTCTAGAGTGGTCCATTTATTTGGTATGCATTTCACACCTTCAAAATGCAAAGTGTTGCTGCAGGACCACCAGCCACTTTATGACCCCTTGACCCTTGCTAACGAGGAACTCGAGGTGGTTGATCAATTTACTTATCTTAGCAGCTGCATCAGCAAGGATGGGCGCATAGAAACTGACGTCGGCTCACGCACTGCAAATGCCGGAGCTGTCTTCTTGAACCTGCGGTATCTTTGGCGACAAAAGGGAATTTCCCTCTGTCTGAGAAGCCGTGTATACAAGGTCACAGTGAGAGTAGTTCTGCTCTATGGTAGTGAGACTTGTCCCCTTCGGTCTGAAGATTTGAGGCGCATTAATAGCTCATCGTGGCTGTATGGCAGAGAGTATCAGTTCAAATGGCTGATGTACTGCTATTGATGATGATGATGATGTCACTGTACGTCGGCGTGAGATGCGTGAAGTGCGCATGAAATGTGTACTGTGTGGAGCTGTGTGGTACTGATCGCAAATTGGTGCGGACCAAACTGTACATATATTTTCGTAAATCTATATATTGCACTCCCGCCGTGAATCAGCGTAAAGTTAACATTCTCTGCCTCGGTACTGCGGAGAAAGGTATTGAGCTGGAGAAGGCGATGGCTGCACGCGTGCTGTCGAGGAGACCATCGGGCGCGCAAACTGTAAGCGGTCTGATTGGTTTGATGAGAACAGTACGACGATTGAGGCATTGGTGGCTGAGAAGAATGCAGCATTTGCTGCACATGAGGCAGACCCCAGTGATTTGGGGAAGAAGAGCGAGTTTCGCATTCGACGGCGACTGACCCGCGAGCTCCGTCGCATTAAAAATGCATGGTTGACGGAGAAGGCGAGCCAGATGGAATGCCACGCCGAACATCGCCAACACAAGGCATTCTTTGACTCCTAGAAGGCGGTGTATGGACCGAGATTGGAGCCGCTGAGGACGCTGATCGATGGTAGCTCAGGCACTACCTGCACACAGACTGCAAACGTAATGCAGATCTGGCGGAAATATTTTAACTGTCTCTTGAACAACCGTTCAGAGATCGAATGGCCTGAAACAGTGCGATGTGAAGGCGAGTCTGGCAGACGCGCCGACACCGGATGAGACACATAGAGCACTTGCTCAGCTGCGAGAAGCTGAGCGTACCAGTGCCGACGGGATCCCGCCTGAAGTATTGAAACACGGCGGACCTGCGCTGGTGACTGCGCTTCACCCCTTGGTGCAACGCGTGTGGGTTGTGGAGAAGATGCCTCCAGAGTTGAAGGATGTGCTTGCTCTACCACTGTACAAGGGCAAAGGGAGCAAGCAATGTTGTACAACTTGCTGAGTTGTGTGGGCAAGGTGATTGCCCGAATCCTGCTCAGGCGCCTCGTCAGTCAGGTTGTGGAACCGAACACGGCGGAAGAGCAATGTGGATTCCGTTCGGGTCGCCACACCATTGATATGGTGTTTGCGGCTCCTCAGTTGCAGGAGAACTGGAGAGAATGACACCAGCCTTTGTACTTGCTTTTTGTTGATTACACCAAGGCATTTGATACGGTGAATCGCGAGGCACTGTGGCTGGTGTTGGGTAAGTTTGTCCGAGTAAGTTTGTAAGTTTAATAGTATATCTGCAGTGGTATGAGAGCGATGGTGCAGTTGAGTGAAGAGACCTCAGATGACTGCATTTATCTCTGGTGAGAAGGAAGGGTGTGTCTTAGCTCCTACCCGGTTTAACTTCTATCTTCCTGCCATGATGTCTTGTGCTTTTGATACCGCTTGTGCATATGGTGCTAGTGTGGAGCACCGTATTGATGGTGGGTTGCTGAACATCCGTCGTTTCGGTGCGAGAACTCTAGTCTGTGAGACAACTATCCGTATGTTGCTGTTTGCTGACGACTGTGCGTTGTTTGCACACAGTGCGGATGAGTTGCAGCACATGACTAGTGCTCTGGCTTCGACAGCGGCAAAATTTGGGCTCACCATCAACACAAGCAAAACTGTCTGTCGCTTTCAGTAATAACCGAAGGTGCAATCTGTAATACCGCCGCAAATCAGCATTGGTGATGACGTATTGGAAACCACCTCTCGCTTCTACTACCTTGGGAGTGGGGTGTCGACTGACCAGAAGTTACACAGTGAGCCTCGTGTCCGCGTCTTGAAGGCAGAGGCGGAATTCGGGAAGCTTGAGTACCGAGTGTGGAACAACCACCAGCTTACCGTTGGTCCGAAGCTGATGGTGTACAAATCCATGGTGCTGTCCGTTCTTCCATACGGCAACGAAACGTGGACGATGTACCGGCGGGATATGCGATATCTCGAGCGATTCCATCAAGTGTCTGTGACGGATTCTGCGCATTGGTTGGGCGACAGAGTTGGGGCACGGAAGTGTTGCGCCGAAGCGGAATGTATGCAGTGGACTGCATACTTTTGCCGAGATATATATATATATATATATATATATATATATATTCAATGCGGTTTGACAGGTTCAACTTTTGTATACTTCAGGGGGACGAACCGAGTACACAGCGAGTTAAACTTCTCCTTCATTAGTGAGCAACAGGTCACAACTGACGCCTTCTGTGGTAGTGTCCAATCAGTCTGATTTATGGTTTGGACGGGGCTGTTGAAGTCCATCTTCTAATAGCTGAATGTCGGCTTCAGTTGATTGTAATACGGTAACGGCAGTTCTATGCTTGCCAAAATGAAGTAGTGGTCACTGTTCGTTAGAGGTTCGAGGACTCTGACTTCTTTCAGTTTCTTCTCACAGCTCGTAAACATTAGGTCCAGACAAGATGCCGAGTGTGGAGTTATGCGCGTCGGTTTGACGACATGTTGCGTTGCGCCGATTTCAATAGTCATTTTAGCGAGTTGAGCCCCAACCTCGCCATGCCCGGGAAGAAGCCTAACGTTTGGCTAGAACATCTTAGGTAAATTTAGGTCCCTATCGGTAAAAATTGTGAGCGGCTCATGTGCATCTGTACATGTGGTAACCAATCGCAACAACGGTTTAATGGGTGACGGTAGATAATACCCACTATTAGTTCTGTGCGTCTGAGGTGGATTGAGCACCACAGTTGCTCGCATAAATTATCCTCGCTCCGATAGGTGCTGATAAGTTTTCTAGAGAGTGACGATTTGATGTACAAAAGAACATCACTGTCAGCCTTTGATTTTAAGTCGCATCGGAAACCAGAGTATTTTGAAAAGGCGACGTCTTGGGGCATAACGGAGTTCAACCAAGTCCCTGCAAGTCCTAAAATGTTCGGCCGCTCCAAGACAGTGAAGCGGAAAAGTTCATCACGTTTGTTGATTAAGTTGCGCAAGTTGGCGAATGCCACACGGAGGTCCAGGAAGGTACCGCGGAACGTGCCTGAAGATTGAGCAACCGGTAAATAGGAATTCATACACCCTTCTTGATCACCCGAAAATTTACAATGTGTAAGTCAGCCTCACCTTCTGTACGGTGTTTAAGCTTAAGGACCGCAGCCCTCTAACGATCCCTGTCTTCGGGTTCCAGGTCTCGGCGAATGTGAACCTTTATGCCCTTCAGTCTTGACAGGAGGCAGTATGAGCTGCTGCGTATTGTGATTCACAGAGGTGATTCTCAGAAGTCGACATGAATGGTTAGTTTGTTGGCTAAGTCGGACTACTTGTTCCATCGTCACAATGTCTTCACCAACATCCAAGAGTCTATTGATGAGCCCCTGGAGGAATTCAACATCGTGATCATAATGTATCTGAGGGTTTTCATCTTTTGACTCTGGTACGTGGAAGACCATGAGATTATGACGCCTCGGCAAAATCGGTGATGAACCAGGGGGAGCACGACTAGAAGCGCTTATCAGTTTGGGTTGTTGTTTATCAGCAGGGGGAACCTGAACTCGGTTACGTGGCCCCTTGTGCTTTAGCGTGGTCCATGGATCATCGGTGTTCAGAGGTTCACAATCTGGCTCTGAGAAATTCACGGACCGATCAGTGAAGCGGCATTTCGGTTATTCTGAGTCAGAGTCTTCAATCGGTGGGGAACCTCTCCATATGCTCTGAAGAGGATTGGATTGTGTGACTGAGTTAGCCTCACCCCTAGCCATTCACCTGTATAGTATGAGCGGCTCTGAAAGCACTTGAAAAATGCCACCAAGCGTAGATCAGTGGGCCACGGAGGTACGCAAATCATTGCAACACGTTTAGATCCAGTCTCGTCGCGACGGCCCAGTAAACAACGGGGTGAAGAATCACAAGTTATAAACCGAAATTCGTAGGTAACCGCTCTCTATACGACTGGTGAAATCGTTGCTAAGATGAGCGAGTGAGTATGACAGCAAGCACAATGCAACAGCTTGTAATACAGATTATAAAATGTCGGCTGTTGAGAAAATTCCGAGTGTGTGATATGAAGAAACAAGGATGAGAGGATATGAAATTCATGTAGTTGAGAACACAAAGACCAAGTGAAAAATTTCGGGATAAACAACACCGGCCGATACAACTGACCTCTGATGAATGAGGTAATCCTCCAAAATGTCCAGCACTCGAATCATTTGGGAAAATATGAGTACTTTGTGGCCGTTCGCCCTGAGTTTCGGGAGCAATTTGTGAATCAAGACCAGTTTCCCTGAGGCGTACACCATAGCGTGGAAAGTCAGTGAATCCTCTGTCAGTGGTTGGTCAAAGTTCTAAATGACAACCGTGAGAGTGGAGATAAAGTGAAAATAGATGAACAGTTGACTTGTACTCCTAAAACAACTAGATGACCACCATGAAACAGCGATCCGGTTTGGAGGAAACCGATGGTGTTGCTAACATGTGACGTGTTTTTGACAGGAAAACTAAGGTGCTCTAAAGCATTCAATGCGTTAATCGAAGAAAGCGTGCATCGTTATCATTAGAACTTGGCACTTGTGTTTTGCTGCCATACACACATAAGAAGTATTATCACAGAAGACAATGAGTAGAAAACCTGATGCAAGACATCTCTAAGCCAAACATTCAAGATCAAGATGTCTACACATCGCGGAAAATTTAGGGTTACAAACGTCCGGTTATCATGAGAGGACAAGAGGGAAAAGTGAAGTACCTTCTTAACAGAGTTCCTATCAAGAATTTATGGAGATAAACCCGTAGTACACATTGCAGTTCAGTCAGGCTACGGTAGCGAACCCGTCAAACGCAAGTTGGTTTGCGGGAGCTCTAACCACAGTACTCACTTTGGTCGTCGATGAATGCCCATCCTTCTGTAAATAAAAGCGTCAACCAGGAACGCGTAACATGTGCCCCGGTTCCATGCAACGTACTCAGCCTCATTCGTTGAGCTAATGCACTGAAAATACCGTCACCACCTAGCATTCATCTGCGCAGATACAACCTCACGGACGTGCATGTGGTGACATGTCGTATGAGCAATGCACCACAGGTAAGGAGTGTTAGAGACTCCAATGAATCACAAGTCTTTACACACGAAGAACGGCACCAAAACGTCCCGTGAACATACTCATCAAGTACAAAGAATTTCTTCTCCTAAATCCGGAAGTGCCGGAGATTGACAATTATGGATAGTGGAGTATATAAACAAAACTCGACAGAAGTCCGTCGCACCTGTAGACAGGTGAACTGACCAACTAAATACAGGTCATCATCGCGAACGCCCAAAGAGCTGGAGGGGGCAGACACTACTGCAGGAACAAAGTGCACGCCGAAGGATGGGATTACTACAGAGTTCATTCAAAGTTGATCCCGCCGCATTGCGATTGTCAGACAATAAAAAAACGATGTCGTCTGCATAAGCTCCATGAAAAATTTCACGAGCAACCCCACAATCCCTGCATCGTGAGACTTTGTGACAGAACACTCCATGATGGAGTAAAATTGCGTGAAGTAGACAACTGATGAAAATCACCAGTCTGACAAATCACCGTAGACTAAGACGCGGTCTGAAATATTGGTGCATACGGCACCTAAGATGTCAACGTAGGTCGTGAGAACACATTTCAGACGAATATATGGGGAGAGATGAATGCACTCTTTGAGCCGAGAAACATGGTAACAAACGATTGGCGATACGTGTGATGTTCCTGTCCCAATCGGGAAATTGTCTGCTTCGTCCTCATCTGAGAGTCGGGTAACGTGAGGATCGAGTCCATGGTAATACACGTATAATTGACAAAAATCGTCTAGCGAACACTCTTGATAAATGTCACCAGGATGGATTGACTTCCTTCCGTACAAATGGGTCAAGGTACGCAGTGAACTACGTTATCGTCTTTAAGTGGCAGCCGCACGAGAAAATACTAGTCAGCTGCGAAAACAATTTCAAAGTAAAACCCAGTTGCAACGTATAAGTACGTTGGCTATGAGTTAAATTGTGCCATTTTGATATATAGCATTCCAGAGAGAGAAGAGTAGATGAATTGTCCCAGGAAGTGATCCGACCAACGGATCAGACAGTGTTTCTTATTGTGGGTTGAGGCGCCGTGTATGTGCGCATCGCTTACAAATAACTTCGTAGAGCTTGCGGCGCAGACCAGTTGGGAGCCTGAGGAAGTTTCCCGAAGCTCCTGCCTATTTTGCCTGATCCCTTCGAGTTCACCGAAGTTCCTTGTCACTACGTTGATGCCATCTAAGCTCGCGCCCTGTAGCTAGTGTAGTGGTAATGTGTTCAATACAATCACTGATTCTTCTACGTTTCAATACGTGTACTGACCTTTCGAAAATCCCATCTTCGGAGGCACTGGTACCAAGCACAGTAGCTGAAAGTCTGTCGTACGGAGCTCGATGTTCTAAGAACAAATGGGTTAAAGCTCAGTGCGTGAGAAACCTTGGTCAGTCTACCTACTCGAACGCTACACTAGCATCCCGGTTACAAATCGAAGGAATAGTTCACCACACTTTTCAGCAGAGTTCAAGGAAAAATGCCACCGTGTCAATGAGAAAAAACGTTGTACGTGTTCTGTAACGAGCAGTGGTCAATGCTCTGGAATCACACCATCTGAAGCAAATGGTAGTGTGCTATTTTGGCCCATCGCTGGCCAGATACTGGGGGACGGTCAAGTGTCACATTGGGGTAGACGGTGCTTGAAGATTGTGTTGCTTATAGAAAGTCCAGGTTACAGTTGGAGTAAATGCCCAGCATTATCTATACATCCGGATACACCATGCTATTGGTCTAAAGATGACGTTAGACGACCGACTACAATGAACTATGTCTCCAGGCCAGAGGCCGTGTAGGTGTGGGCAAGGTCACTTAATCCCGAGTCTTCACGCCGCTAGCCGTGATTGTGTGGCAATGAAGAGTTAGTGAGATGTACTGGCATACTGCTGTTATCTTTTCGCCAAATGTGAGGGTATCAACTAGTATGGGAAACATACGCAGACGAGCACATCAGGCTTCGGACCAGTCTCGTTTCAATGTGTAAGAAAGTTGAAAAAATGAATTATTGATATGGTGTGTTGATGATCTGGTTGGCGTATCAGCAACCAATGTGCTGAAACCTTAAGTAAAATCTACTGGATTGAGAGGAGGGGGTTAATATGTGTCAAATGATAAAGGCAGAAGTGTAGCGATGCGTCTAGCAGCAGAATTAGTAGAGGCGAACTACGCCTAGCGTACTTCGCTTGCAACATTAGCATAATCTATAAGTAGCAGGGAATTTATTAGGTTTTTGTGTAGATTCGTCGCAGTTAGACACAGGCAAACAGTTACCCCACATCCAGAAAAACGCTAGACGGCCGTTTTGTCCTATTGAGCCTCGTCAGTAGCGCGCACCCGCCGAATCCTGCCGGATTCGAACTCACTACCGTACTCTTGCGAGTCAGCGACTTGTCACTGAGCCATGGGCGACGGCAGCAGACCGTCATGTTAGCGAAAGGTGAGAAATACCTCAGCTAGTGTCGCAGCAATACGGCACTACATGACCGAGTTCGTAATTGTTGGTACTCATCAGATGTGGATAACAGGATTGGGACTTGAACCTGGGGACTTTGGGATACCAGCTGAGGTTTATGCTCCCAAACTACAGCTTATGACTTGCTGGGAGTCACATGTTGAAGAACACGTCAAGCAAATGGATTGTGACAAAAGCTTCAAAATGAAACCCAATCGGTCGATAAAGATTGTGACAAGTGTTGTGTGTGACAACGTAGCTTAGGAGACTGACAGGTCTAATGTCTCAGGTGCGAGTGACTATCTTTATCAGATGACTGCGCGAATACGTAAGGAAACGGTTACCGAATGCATCGTTGCGAGCGAGTAACACGCAACATTTATCCGCTTCAGATACGGTCCCAGTGTGACCGAAATGCTCGGAGTCCACTTCATAGTGGTTGGTGATCCAGATGTACACTAATGAGGGTCCACACAAAAAGCGCATCAAACCGACTCTAAGCGTATGCGTTCAGACTAGTTGCTGCAAAGTCGCAAGTACACAGAAGTGCGTTAGACTAAGAACACTTGACTCGCTTCGTTGAATTAGTGACAAGAAGGATAACTGTTAGGGCTAGTCTAGCAGAAGTCCTGATGCATCGTAAACTACGAACACGTTATGATACCCATGGATCATCACTGAAAGTTGCGGTAGAAGAACGGAAAGGTTCTCCAAGCCCCAGGATTTTACTCGGATTAGGTTACCTCAAACTATAATAATAGTAATGATAATAACGACAAACTATGATGAATAAAAAATGAAGTAAAAGTCGCAAATGACGGAACGGGATGGCATGTCAAGGTAAACAAACGGACAAAGTTGTGGGACTGGAAACGGAGTCGTAGTTGATGCAAAGAGAAAAATTAGAGCATCAGGAGATCAAGAAAGCAAAAAAACTACACGAATATGACTTCGATGACAAGACTTCGCCTTCAGAGTTGATACTTAACAAATAGGTGAGCCAATCCAATAAGTATTTCGCGATAAAGCTAGAAACAAGATCCCATGAAGAGGCTGTATGCCACATCAGAAGGATAACGAAGAGAACAACTCACCGGTTGTGAACGCATCTCCTCCAAGATGGCGTCCTCTGCACCTTTGATAAGGAACGGATGGTTGCAGCATTTACGAAGCTCCATCATTATGTTCATAAGGTTGGGGGCATTTGAATAGGTAGAACCCTTGCACAGGAATGCAAAATTGCGTTCCATAATAGCACGGTAGTACTTTTTCTGAATGTTTGTGAGTTCCACCTGAGGATGGATAAATAAAGTGGGGTTACGGTGGATTCGTACTGATTATGGTGCAAGTTCTCTGACGCACGAACCAGCTAGGTAAAAGATGAGCTTCGAATACGCTAGTGAAGAACTCCCATTAGTTTGCACGAGACGGATGAACGGACAGTTTCGACAATAACTCGATGTCCACCGACATGCACAAAAGAGATGTGTTAGGGATAGTAAGATGTTCGAAAGATGGTAGCCTGAATGTAAGGATGAAGTCGAGGAAATGAAACTGTACAAAAAGGTCTTATTCGAAGTTCTAATCGAGGCCACACGCTCAGGAAGTCTTTTGTCACCAAAGCACCAGTATCTCTGGATCAGCAAAGTAGAGTATGGAGCGATTCGGGAGAAGAGTGGCGCGCGCCACCTGACGTTTATGTGACAATGAAGTGGGATAAGAGGGATTCATTAGCCACTTAAACTCCGTTAACAACACTACAAATCTTACTATTGAAGTTATGCAGTATTACGCTGTCATTCATTGACTGCCAAACTCCAGAGAAAAGGCTGTAAAAACCACAGACATAGATGGATTGTTTAATTGCAGTTCAGGTCGTCCAAGGCGCGCTTATGCCAAGATTGCCTAGTCTCGGTTCGTTAAAAGAGGGATCTCCGCATAAGATAAAAAGCAGACAGTGAAAATGTGACCATGGGAGGTTAGCAAAACGTCCGTCACCGAAGTTTGCAAAAACATACCCAAGATCTAAGACAGAGGGAAGATGGACGGTAACGATTCAGTGGATGGGAAAAAGCTTGTAAGTGAAGATTTTTCAAAAAGCTAAATGTAACGGTCGACGCCGGTGCAACTGGAAGAGCTCTCCAAGTTAAACGGAAAAATCGACTGTAGCAATAACAGTGCAGTCAAACCTGACTAAGACAACCACTCAAGGGATCGACAAAAAGTGGTCGCTATGGACAGGTTCATGCATAGGGACATTATTCATAGGAGAAAACGTTGGGGATGTTTTTTGCTGGTCGCCGGGGACACGTGGTCGCCAGAGCAGGTTGGGCTGTACTTGCTAAGAGTGAGCATGCGAGGATTGCGGAGCACGAGAAGTATGATATGTCCAGGAAGTGGTGAGCCTTATTAATAAATATGGCAGTAGAGGTGAACATGCACTAGATTCAAGGCATGGAATCGGCTTGGAGAAGGTTGGGCTCATTAGAATGGGGTTGTAAACAAAACTCAAAAGGCCAACTGACAAGTCAGTAAAAAGTGCTAAAGAAAACAGCCGAGTGGACACGAACGCGCAGGGTGGAGTCGTCGAATGCACGGCTAGTTGTCTTAAGACAGCCAGTCTAACAGTGCAAGGGCCCGCAGTCAAGAGTAGAGATTGATACCATTTGAACTGCTAGGGCTTTGCGGAGGCGCCATGCGCAAGGAATTGCTTAGGAGTTTTCTATATTAATCGATCTGCAACAGCGATTATTCGTTGACCCGAATCTGTGGTGTCATCACCACTATCCTGTTAGAGACATGTACCACTACGTCAGACAAAACCCCTACGCCAACAGTAGGACGTTGTCCGAGAAGCACACAAACTGATTGCTTCCAGAGCATTTTGAAATAATGTACACACGGCTCATCGACACGTCTTTCGGCATACCCGTAGTCAGCGAGGTAAGTTTCACAAACCGTGGGACAGTGTTTCTTGGTATGAAGCATGTGTCTGCTGAGAGAAGGTTTTGAGTAGGTAGAGCGTAGTTCAGAGGATGCGCATGCTGGAGTGGAAGTTTGAAAACTGAACGGTAGATCGGTCTCAGACTAGCGCGATTCTATTCCGACGAGTGGTGTGATCCCACAACCGCGATGAATAGGAAGGAGTAGGGTGGACACGGAGTCTAAAGGGTGCCTTCAGTGAACAGAACTGAGAAAATGACACCGAGGTAGTGCAGAAAGCACAAGTTCTTACTGTAAACTAAACGAAAGAGCGCCGCATGTCCGCGGTGCAACAAGTCGACTGGTAACCTCAAGGCGAGAGAGAAAGCAGTCGCCTGAAGGGCACACTGCTGGCTTATAGAAGTGTCCTTTGATAGTTTAGTCTAGTCTGAGGAAAAAATCAGGTGACCAGCCTAAGCACCAAAAGATAATAGTCGCAAGTCACGCGAATAAGACGAGGCAAATTTGAATAAGACCAGCTAACTATCGAAAGCGAAGCCCCATGAAAAGCGGGGAAGTTGCTTACGTGCGTGGCTAGACTAACATAGATGACAGATGGATGGGATGGTGTAGTTAATACCCACAAGTGAGTCCATAACACAGAAGGCAACCAAGCCCCCAACTGGATACTCCTCAGATTCCGGGAAGGTTCTAAACAAATATGCTAACGAAGCAATGGGAATCAGGAATCCGTCTTTAAGGACAACGCAGTCTATACGGAGAGAAAAGTAAATGGCGATGTGACACGACAGAACGCCCCTAAAGGACCAATGTTATGAAGTTGGAACGATACAGGCAGTTAGCTGATTGGACATGCAAATCAAATAACGGGAAACTGTGACTCATATATTATTGGGAGAGATGACTGGCATCGCAGACGGTTTGCCAATCACTGGAATTCAATCGAGTTCCCGTACGTCATTGCCGCAAGAACGCGGATCAGATGAGGTATAAAGATTAGAGTTCAAGGCTCCAAATGGGAGTGGTATGTGTTCGGCGGTAATGCTGCTATTTGTAGTGAATTAACTTCAGCGGAGCCTAAAGCAGATATCAGTTGGGACATGCCATAAGGACAAAAAGCCGAGTAATTTTTAGGCGAACTTGTTGAAGTGGAACATGAGAAAACAACAGCCACGTACACCTCACGATACAGTAGACGGAGTCGAGAAGTAGCAGGACTGCATGTTAACGACCGGCATGCATAAATCAACAGCGCGAAAGAACACAGAGAAGACTTGCCTCGACAATTGTTTCTTCCTTTGGGGCCAAACTCTTTTCAACATCCTCTTTCAATCGACGGAGCATCATCGGCTTCAGTAAAGCTTTCAAGCTTTCTACTTGCTCCTCAGTTTTTAGGTCGCCATATTCAGCGACGAACGTGGAAGAGCAATTAAATCTGTCTGGCTCCAAAAAATTAAGCAAACCGAATAACTCTTCCACGTTGTTCTGAAGTGGTGTTCCCGTTAGCAAAACGCGATGGTCCTGAAGCAAAACAAACAGAAACGATGCATGAACACAGGGTTAATCTAATCCTAGTGAGTCAAAACATCGACTGGGTGGTGGCTCACCAACTCCAAATAACGAAGTCCTTCACCGAGCTTGCATTTCTTGTTTTTTAACCGGTGCGCCTCGTCAATTACAGCAGCCACCCAGTGGATTTGTCCAAAGAACTCAATATCCGTCATGAGGATTTCGAATGTAGTCACCAGAGAGTGGAATTTGTAGACATCATGTCGAACGGCGCTGTCCGACGAGCGACGTTTGTAGAATATCTCATATTCCTGGATCATGTTCCGACTGGTGCTGCTTCCGTGGTACACAACGACATTCAGATCGGACCAATTTTCAAACTCACGCTGCCAATTTGCTACCGTCGATAAAGGCACAATGATTAGAAATGGTCCCTGCACACCAGCCTTTGCAATTTCTAGGAGGAACGCGACGCTTTGGACTGTCTTACCCAGGCCCATTTCGTCTGCAAGTATGCAATTGCGATGATGGAACCAACAATACGTGAGCCAATTCACACCCTCAAGCTGATAATCCCGCAGTTTGTTGTCGTTCTTGTACACCTTTCCGGCTTCAATTGGCCGCCACGTAGAAGCATCTGGTCGAATAATCTTCAAATGAAAAGGAAGTACAAAGGTTATTGACGTAACAATAGTCATGCAACAAAAAGGCACCCATCGTCATTGTGGACAACTTTTATGGCAGGTAAATAACGAGCCAACAAGGTAGTAATTTAGATCGCATGCCTTAAAAGGTTGTCGTGTAGAATGTATTATAAGAATGATTTCGGATACTCCAAATTATGTGTTAAAAGATACCTTTGGGACTCAAAGAGGAGTAACGTCATAAAGTAACCACACAGAGGTGTCCCGAAGAGCAGAACACATTGGATGTGTGGTGGCTATCTGCCCGAGTCTAACTGCGACGGATGATTACAAAAACCCAATAGATCCCCCTACTACTTAAGATAGACAGAACACAATGTCCAATGAGTGCACTAATATATGTCATGAAAATCCATATAGTATTCGCAAACAACATATTAAATATTAGGACATTTCCATGGAGACAACATGGATGTGGGAAGAACCAGAAGTTAAAAATAACATTTACTTTGTAATCATTGTCGCGGGCCGCTGGAACGATCTTCGATGGTGTTCGCCATTTGAGGAACTCCTTCACTTTTGCAGGATCAACATCTTGGGCTAATTCCCAAGTAGCATCTTCATATGGGAGTGACCGCCACTTGACAAGATAGTACGTTACGGTGACAGGAGAACGAGTGCCAGTACTGTGGTCCGAATCGTCATCGGAAGCTCTATCGGGTGGCTTCGCGGAGGCTGGATCAGTTGTCACCTGAGTAATCGAAGCCATAGATACGACTGTTGAAGCGGGGGAAGTTGCTTCATCGGCGATCGCTCGATCGGACGGATCCACTGATTTAAATAATGCATCAGTCTTAGGCAGCGTAACTGGATTAATCAGGTTCCTGGAGCTGGTAGAAAGAGAAGGGCAGCATGATTGCATCACGGTTGCGTCGTCTCCCTTGGTCTCTTCCGTGAGTTCACTATCAGATCTCTTGCGCTCAGCGGTGGACTCGACCGACTCGTCCAACTCATCTAGTGTAACACCCAAAGCGTCCTTGGAAGCATTCGATTCACTAATAGGCTCTTCAGTGATTGGAGTTGAGCGCCCCAAAGAGTCTTGAGAAGCCATACTGGATTCTGCCTCTGCTTTCAGTCTAGCTTTAGCTTCACGAACAGCTCTAGCACGGTTACGCTCTCGCTCCCGCTTGCGTTGTTTGCGAAGCTCCACGAGATCAACCACAGAGCCTTGTTCGGATTCGGGTAATAGCTTGTCCGAAGAAATCAGTTGACCATTTCGGTACACTTTCATATCAAGTACGCGTTCTACCTCTACGTAATCCGGATTGAACAAGACGACATCGTCATCCTAGGAGCGGAGAGGAAAAAAAGAAGAAAACCATCTTAGATATCAGTTCAAACTTGTCACATAATTGCGGTGAGAGAAAAGGCATAAGCCGTACACCGGTACAAAGTAAAGAAGCTTCGTTGCCGCGCAACCATCACCAGTCGCACATGGGCTAAAGACAGTGCGACGGTCGCCAGGTCCTATGCAGGATCGAACCTGCGTCCCCGGATTACAAGGTAGGCTTGTTATCCTTAAGGCTACGGGACGGCTGATCCTTAAGATCACGCGCCAACCGAGGTTGATAAAACGTTTGTGAAGAAAGCAAAATCAGCAAGTGATAATAGCAGGACAAGAAAGAATGGATGACATACCTCCACCTGGACGGAATTGGCCTGTTTTATCTCAAAACGCCGAAGTTTGGGCCGGATCCGTGGGTCATCTATCTCGTCCAGTGCGCGCCACTCGCAGTGGAGATAAGAACTAGGAAAAAATCAGGGATGTGAATGACGGTTAATAAAATGGAAAATATAGAGTTAGTACTTTGGAGTGATTGAATTCTGATGAAGTAACTGGCTAGAACACTCACTATCCTTTGTATTTGAGATAAAACTCCTCCACATCCTCCTCTTCCTCGAGGATCTGTGATGTAACGGCACTAGCATCGTCAGTAGGGTGCGTTGTGTCCGACACGCCATCGGCGACATCCTGCTGAATAACTTTCTTTGTAACCCGTTTGGTAACTCGGCGGCCCAGTACATACTCCACCACCTTGAAATCATTATCTTCCGCCATACCCTAAGAAAGGATGCAGGTGATAACGCATGGAGTTTGTAGTTCAAGAGAGAAGAGTCGTTCAAAAAGTAGGGTAAGGATGTACAATCTCTCCTGTTACCCAGCGTTGGAAAGTCGATGAGATGCAATCATGCAAAATTCCTAAGTGAACCCGTGGAAATAGAGCTTCGTTGATTGTCACATAGTAAAGATTGTTAACAGGCAACATGACTAAGTGATATCGAGCAGGCCATTTTAATTATGATGGACAACTGGCATGATCCGAAAATGAGTGATTTCGTATGGGTACTCAAAGCGCATAAAGGAATACAAAAACATAGTGGTTCAAGTGAATGAGAAAAAGTGTGGAAAACTAGTGGGGAGAGGTGAGTCTGAGTAAGTAATTTTGTTAGTCAGTCGAAGTAGGAGGGTCGTGAACAAAAATAAACTCACAGTCAGAGTATCGGAGTTCAGTGTGGCTATCTCCTCATTCCCAGCGGTGTCTGAATCGTCGGAGAGATTCAGCTCCAAGTCCACCGTGTAACGCTTCCGATCGCCGGCCGTACGCTCTGATCTGCGTTTCTGCTTGCCAATGAGAAGAGAAGCAATGACGAGACATACGTTACCGGAGAAATAAAATACAGTGACAAGCATACAAAAGAATGTCTAATTTGCCGAACCACCTTCTCGTGGTGCTAAGTGGGTGACCTGAGTTTATCCTATTCTGGCGAAGTGTTCGGCAACAGTGCTCCAGGAAGTGGTGAGTTTTCGTTTGGCTAGCATTCTCTCAATATAAAGCCACAAAAGTCCGTTTGGCAATACCGCAACTGGCGGATGTGAGTCGCCATTAAAAGGTCACTGCCCCCTGTTTCACCTCGGTGGAGCATTGTTGTCCAGAGTACGAATGCGAGTTGCATTGCGTCCCCGTCGTTTGGCAACTCATCAAGACAAAGGCGAGCAAAATGAAAAATCGATAATCGACCCACAATTGGCGCGATTTCCTAACTTAATCCGCTGCCTTGTGAGTGTGTTAGCCAGCCAAAGACTCGGGTTTGTGCCCGCTTAGTCAACTCGCTACCTCGTTTTAGCAACTGGGCAGTAGCATGCCCCCTGAAGGAATAATGGGCTGTCCCGTGTTATATCCACCGATTTTTTGACGATAAGTACACTCTTCAAGGATACCCATGGTTTTTGATATCTCCATGTTTGTTCACAGACTGCTAAAAATAAACACACAGATATACCCAACAAATTTGTGATAATTAGACAGAGAACGGCGATTATGGGATGCAAGTGCCAATAAGGGAAATTTGCCCTACTGGATAGTAATGAATGAGATGCACATAAATTCACTCACTCGATCAGCACTGACTGCATCAACAACGGGAGTGCAACTTTTGCCTGATGGAGCACGTCCACCCAGCCGACCAGATATGTCGGGTTCAGAGTCAGATTCGTTCCCGTAAAAGGCTGAACGTCTCTTTTTGCGAATTAAGGTTGGAAGGGGTCTAAATAGAAAAAGGATCACATGAGTAGCCCAACAACAAAGACATCGTATGTGACGATGGCTCTAAAACACAGCATGCACTAACTTTTTCTTTTTTGGCCGAGGCGGTCTGGCGCGGACAATTCGAAGCTGCTTCGCAGGTGCCGATTCTTCTGTTAGCGCGATTGATTTTTGGACAGGTGACTGAGCCAGCCCAGGTGAGTCTTCAATAATGAGATCATCCTTTGGAGTTCGTTCTATGGGTTGATCCGTGGTGGCTTCTTTTACTTTATTCTTTTTGGACTGTTTTGGCAAAATGGCCCGTACGGAACTTCGACGCTTTTTGCTTTTTGGGGACATTGTTTGTCCATTGTCATCTAGGGGAATAGCTGAATCTCGAGTCCCCAAGGCATGTGTGTTGTCGTTTTCCGGCTCAACCCTCTCTAATGAGTCGGGGTCTGATGCTTTGCGGGGAGGCGGACGTGACCGTTTGGCTGCTAGGGGTGAAACAACCGGACTCAAAGTTGAATCCGCTTCGGAATTGGCATCGGCCGCGGCATCATTTTGTTGTTGTGCCGCTTCTTCTTGCTTCTTGCGGAGCCTTTGTTGGCGTCGACGCTCGTTGCGTGCTTCCCGATCCAGTGCATTACCCCTGCGAGATTTTAGTGGGCCTGATTTGGATGGAGACGGAGAACCGGGAATTTTGGGTAAAATAGGCAAATAAGGTGAGGTCAGCTCACCGCCGACGATCCCGTTGCATTTTTCTACTTCGAATGGGGCACGGGTGGGAACCGAACCAACAGGTGAGATGACTGTGCCATGCAGAGGGGATCGTAGACCGGGTACAGGGCTGCACTGAACAGCTGCAGGAAGCTGGATCGTTTTGGGAGTAGACGGATATCGAGTCTAAATGAGAGAAAATAAGGGAAAAGAATGAAGTATTGGAAAATGATTGTAACGAAACAATACAAAAAGGGATAAGTAGGCTCACAGGTGACTGATGCATACGTGGTGTTTCGCAGACCTGATGAGTCATTCAATAAACACGTTAGCTAGAGATAGAAAACACCTCAACTATTGAGTCGTAATACATAAAAGAAGCAGAAAAAGATGTAACAGAGGCCCGCGAGCAGAGCCACCAGTAACGGATGGGCATTGCTCCGGAGAGTTACCAGCCGGCTATTGTAGTAGTAGTAATCTGAACAGTCTATCAACTAGACACAGAGCCAACATAAAACCATGGAGATCAGCGGATAAGCAAGAGTCATCGCGTCATAATCATCGTGGCATGCTAGCTGAAGGTGAGCAACACACTTCAGCTAATATGCCGCAGGAAGAATGAAGCATTTTGACAAAACGTGGAACAAAACATTTTTAGTTTGTTTTTCACACGTCGATTTTGCTCTTTTTTTGTCATTTTTAATGTTTGTAGTATTAGACATGTGAAACAATACAATACCGTACACAATTCTTCCATTGATTCCGGTTGCGGGCCATGTCTTCAAGAGTCCTAAGCCATTAGCACTCCTCATCTTTGGGTCCCCATCCTGGAAGATGTACGGATCCAACAGCGGCTAGACGCGACGTCAGCGATTTCATGTGCTGCCGCCAAGTGGAAGGCTGACCATCACGCGGTCGCTTCCAGCCAAGTCCTTGACGAGCGAATAGAGCGCGACGCGGTAGACGCTCAGGTGCCATGCGTAGGACGTGACCGAGCCATCTTAACTGGCGCAACAAAACCAGTTTGTTGAAGGGAATACTCGCACTCCCCAAGATGCAACGTCGAACGTCATTACTATTAACTCGAAGTTGCCACCAAACACGAGCGATCCTCCTTAAGCAACCGTTTTCGAAGGTAGAAAGACGACGCATGTCTTCCACGCGAATCGGCCAGGACTCGTACCCATACAACAATAATGAGCGAACTGATGCGCTGTAAACGCGGCGACGCCACAAGTGCCTCAGATTGACAAATGCTGATCGAGTTTTAGCGATACGGAGAGAAACTACTTTGTTGATAGTTCCGTCAGTAGAAACACAGCTCCCAAAGTAGACGAAAATATCTACTTGTTCAAGTTGTGCACCTTCGAGAGTGAGCACGGGAGCAGGTGAAAGCCAATCCTTGAGCAGCACTTTACACTTCGATGGGGTGAAGCTCATGCCATACTTAGATGCTTCAACTGCCAAACGATCCAGAATGAGTTGCATACTCTGAGGATCGTCACCAGGTAAGACAATATCATCAGCATAATCTAAGTCAGTCGCGCGCTCAGCTGGTAGAAGTTCTAAGCCAAAATGTTGGAAACCTTCTAGGGCATTCGACAGAACGTCTTCGATTGCGAAGTTGAAGAGGAATGGGGACTAAGGGCAGCCCTGTCGCACACCGCTATTGACAGCGAATTGCGAGGAAAGCTTGCCATAGTCCCTCACTCTGCCGCATGTATGAAGGTAAAGTGCGCGTAAGATGGCGGTATATTTCTCTGGCACCCCCTTCTTTAGCAAGCAACGCCATAAAGTAGGTCGATCAACGGAGTCAAAAGCGGCAGATATGTCTAGGAATGCAACGATAGTGGACCTGTGATAAATGTGGCGATGTTCGAGGAGCTGGCGGAGCTTGAAGATTTGATCCACGCATCCGCGGCCAGGACGGAAACCAGCTTGTTCTTCACGGTAGTATGATTCACGTACTGGGGATAGTCTGCGAAGCAGAATGGATGCCAATAGCTTAGAGGCAACCGAAATAAGACTAATCCCGCGATGATTTGCACATGAAGTGCGAGCGGCTTTCTTGAAAATCGGGACAATAACTGATTCGCCCCAAGAGGAAGGCACTTTCTCTTCATGCCAAATTTTTGCGAACAGCGCGGTCAGCTGGTTAATGATCGCCATACCGCCGTACTTGAATAGTTCCGGAGGAAGTCCGTCTGAGTCGGCACTGTTGAAGCGCTTCAAGCGTCAAATCTCGAGGCAGACTTCCGCTTCGCTGGGTGGATTCAGTGGGACGAGTCAGGGTGGACAACAAGGTGTGCTGCATGTACTGATGGATGGTGGAGGCCAGCTGAACTGCGAGTGAAAGTGCTCGGCCCAGTGGTCCATACTCCTCTGTTGGTTGGTGAGCGGAGACTCATCCACCTCACAAATGACCTCACAGACACCAGGCTTCCTGAGGCCAGTGGACCGAATGAGTTGGAAAAGCCTGCGAGTGTTGCCAGAGAGGGCAGTGGTGTCCATCTTTAAAGCACGCTCAGACCACCATGTCTCGCGACCCTTGTGTAGGCTTTGCTTGAGCAGCCGGTTGGCAGAACGGCGCAGCTCGTTGCAATCTGACTCTGCGGGGATATTTCTGCGGCGTTCGAACAGCTGTAGAGAACGAGCAGAGATCCAGGCCTTCAAGGGGCGTCGAATTAGGCCGCAGCATGACTGTCCGGAAATGGTTATCGCCTTCCGTATACAGGTCCAGTGTGGTTCCACTTCTTGTGGTGGATTGCAACTGAGTGCATATGCCAGTGAAGACTGATAGCTCGCCTGGACAGAGGAATCAGTTAATCTGTTTACATCAATCTTGCGGTGCTTCGTGTTTCGGGATCCTCCAAAACACATACAGATTTTGGCACAGACCAGAGCATGGTCTGAGTCAACGAAGGTGGACCAAAAGGACCTGCAATCCAGTACGCTGCCGCGCCATCCGAAGCTAACCGCAATGTGATCAATTTGAGACCACGGTTGTGTTGAAGAAAGGGGACGCCACGTTGCGGAACGCTTCTTGGTACGCCTGAAGTTAGTGCTCGAAAGAAACAGGTGGTTGTCTTCGCACAATGTGAGAAGCCTCTCTCCATTATCAGAGCGGTTCTTACCGAGCGCGTGATGACCACTAAGGTAGCGTTCGTATGGTAACAGGCGGCCAACCCGTGCATTAAAATCCCCAGCAAGGATAACGACATCCGACTTTGTAGCATTGGTCAAGAGCTGTTGTAGATCCCGGTAGAATTCGTCCTTGACCGAGTCGCCACTGTAGTCAGTTGGAGCGTACACGGAGATCACAAACAAGTTGTGTCTCTCTTCGCGGTGCCCGTTGATTCTACATGAACCCCGAAGCCGAACTGCACATAGTCGGCTGTAAATAGGGGACCAGTCCAGTAGTGCCGACTCGGCCTTGCCACTTAGTGCTATACCTACGCCAGCCAAACCCGCTGAGGCTGCTTCTGGATCTCCAGAAAGACGCAGGTGATATCTAGCTTCGTGGTCAATGTGGGATGTCAATGTAAGCACAGTGCTGGGATCTAGAAATCTGGTTTCTGAAAGGCAGCAGACATCAATGTCTAGGGAATCTAGGGTGCGCGCTAGACCGGCTTGCTGTCCAATCTGCATGAGCGTCCGAACGTTGAGGCACACCAGACGGAACGAGGATCAGGGACGAAGGAGAGTCATAGGTTGAACTCCTTGGTCTGCGGCCCAACCAGAATCGCAGCCAGATTGCTGAACACATGAATCGGGTAACGGAAAGTGAGGATTGTTAACAAACAAACAATTGGCGTGTGATGAAGTGGCGTGAAAGTGACTAGTAAAAACAGTAGCTGATGAGCACGTTGTAATACAGTCCCTGGCTATTGTGCCGCAAAACGGTTACATTATACCTAGAAAATGAGATCGTGGAGAGTGTAGAATAGACATATATATAATCAACAGTTCAAGAAGTGCATAGAGAGCCATCGAGAAAACCATGGAAATCCAAGGGAAGTACAACCCGAGCAAAAACAGAACTAAAAGCTTTTGTTTTTAAATGTCGATTTCTTCTTTCTTGGCATCTTCAATATTTGAGGCATTAAACAAATGAATCGATACAATTCTGCGCACAGTTCTCCCAGTGATTCCGGTTGCAAGCCATGTCTTCCAGCGTGTCAAGCCACCGACATTCCCCATCCTTTGGTCTCCATCCAAGAATATGTACGGATACAACAGCGGCTAGACGTGACGTCAGTGATGTCGCGGTTGCCTCCGGCCAGGTAGTGCATGAGCGAATAGGGGGAGCCGCGGCAAATCATTAAGCATAATGCATAGAACGTGACCGAGCCATCTCAACTGGCACAGTAAAATGAACTTGGTAGCAACCGAAACGCCTTGCGGTTGGTTGCAACTGAGTACGTCTGTCAGCGAAAATTGATAGCTCAACTGGACCGAGGAATCAGCTAATCTGTTCGCATCAATCTTGTGGGAGCACCGAACAAAGAATATTCCATAGACCAGTAGGTGTGCATTTACAAGCGCCCTGGTGCTGCGCTGAAATGGCTGTCGAGAATGAACCACGTAAGCCAGATGGGCTTTGTTGTTTATAAGCATGGCGGCAAACCATCACAAAACGGGTCGTTAGTTATGGTTACCCACTGGTCGGCGGAACAGATGGCAAAAGTACCCAAGAAACTGGATAAGAGTCAAAATTGCGTTAGTGCTCGTTATCGTCTTGGACAGAAGGCCTAGGGATTGATCGTATCAACGAGTGGAGAATACATCGAACAAAGGAGTTACAAAGTCTGTGGCGACCTAACAGTCAGCTCCGTTTCTCAACCAACCATTTTACCCGAAGAGGCGTTTCATGTGCTCATTCTTGTTTCGGCTCACTGATAATTTTTACGTTGTCCGCCAATGTTTTCAAATGGTTACTACGGTGACGATTCAAAACGACTGGCTCCATAACATTTCGGTGCAACGGGAATAATGGTTAAATGTATTGAAAAATGAGCAAATTGTATAACTATATGCCAGGTGATTATCCAGGAATTCCCGAAAGAAATATCATGAAGCAGTGACAGGGTCAGTGCCGGATTGTCGATTCGAAGAACAGGATACTATATCAAAGAAACATACCGGCAGGATGGAAGCCAGTCACCATTCGTGGTGGAAGTCGGTCG